AAAGTGTGATGGATGCCATCTCTCCGCATCAGACCAGGTTTTCCCCAGAAAGAACTCCAGTTATCTATGTAGCCCACGTTGTTGTCAGAACACCACCTGGACACCCAGCGGTTAAACGACGACATACGGCTAAACATGTCATCGCTGGTCAGGTTGGGGAGGGGGCTGGAGAAAACTACGGAGTCCGACATGGTTTTAGCAAAGTCACACACCGAAGCAACATTAATTTTAGTGACCTCCGATTGGCGCAACCGGGTGTCATTACCGCCGACGTGAATAACAATCTTACTGTATTTGCTGTCTGTACTGCAAAGTTCATTAGAGGGTAACCCGTTTCAGAAGTTATTAATTTAGTTCCTCAGATAAATAAAATCTCAACTGTAGGGATTGTGAGATAAATGACTCCGAAGAACATTTCTGAAACACGTTTTGTCAGACTGGGCCGTCAGTTTGAACAGAATCTTCAGGATACAACAAAGTCCATGCTCAATAATCCAGGTATACAATCCAACATTTTTAAGTCAGGTCATCTGGACAGTTTTTTTTTTGTGCTAAAATGTTTCTCTATGTGTCCCTGTGATAGACTTGCGACCTGTCCAGGGTATAACCCGTCCCTTGCACAGTGATTGCTGGACATGGGCGACCCCCGTGACCCAAAATGGAAGAAGTGGGTAAAAGATAATGGATGGATGGATATCATAAGTATTTTAATTAGTCATTTTAAGAGCACAAGAAAATAATGTCGGAATGCATATTAATAAATATTCTTTATTTAGTTGTTTTTTAGACATTACAATCTTATCACACCCATTTTTTTCATTACAAATGGATGTTTATTCTCTGTAAAATCTTTATATTTATATTTCTGTACACAATTAATAGTACAACCTTTAGCACTACACTGAAGTGTCACTAAGGAGAGAAATATAGAAACAAAGCCATAACAAAAATAAACAATAAGACTGCTAAATTTATTCCCTAACATCACAGTTTGTGAAGCTCGATTTCATATTCTACTGTGCCGTTACCCAGAAACCCTACAAACCAACAACAAACAGCTACAGGATTGGTCAAAGAGGACTACAAGTCTGAATGTAGAGATGAACCACTGTGTCGGTGTGCCAAACAGAAAGAGATGAAGTGGAAAAAGTAAGAATCACACTTACTTTACAAGGAGAAATGAGCAAACAAAACACCAAAGCTACTGCAGAAATTTATTTTTCTAATCTTGTTGCAGCAGTGGTCATGAGTGTTTGACTTTTTCAGAAGAAGACATTAGTGCAGTTAGTTGACACTGGTTGTGGAGAACCATTTCCCACAGACCGGTTTGCTCTGCTCAGTGGCACGGCAGTAGTTGGTGAACTTATCCTTCAGGAGTTGTCGGTACTGGTGGCGGTTGTTGTAGAAGGACTGGTTTTGTTCTAAAAAGGCCTGGATTTCATCCTGGGTCAGACAACAGTCTTCTTCAGAGTTTACTTCTGAATCGTCCTGTGTTGTAAACACACGTACAAATGGTTTAATAAGAGTCAGAATCTAAACATTATAATACTTGTTTTCAAATATTATATCAAATAAAAACCACAGTTCCCCTTTATGAAACGATAAACATCAAGCTCCATTACGACCCATCACTGTTGTTAACATCTATTGAACTTACCAGAAGTTCCACCAGACTGAAGTTTTCATTTGGAGGTTTGACATGAAGGCTGAGATCCTCCTGATGTGCTGTCCGTGGTAACTGTAGTGCAATGTTGGCAAGTTTATCGCCACATAAGGAGGAGAATAATTCTTTGGTTCGACAGGTGTGCGCTGTCGTCAGACTGAGGCCTGTTGTGTTGCCATCTGACAAACCATCAGATTTTTGCCCCTGTAGAAATAAGAGTGTTACTTTGAGCACATTGCTGCACATTTTGTACAGTTTTCACACATTTCCTTTTTTTAAATGACAAACTTTTCCTGCCTCAGATTTCTTAACCAATTTTTTACAGTTTTTGGCACCTAAGTAGTTTCTAATATTGAGGTCAGGACCCCATTGTGAGTTGTGCAACACCAAGTGATGGTCTTTAGAAGATCTACAGAAATTAACTATAAAAATGTTCATCAACAGCATATTTAGCAATGAACTCATTGAAAATTACATATTGTTTGACAAAGCTCCTTGTGGAATAGCTTATTAGCAGTGTGTGTGTACCCCAGCAACAGTGAAGGCTCTGCAATTTTTACTCTGGGTGTCAAAAGCAGAAATGTTTGTGAACCACTGCAGTAAGATGCAGAGCAGATCCAAAGAAAAATAAAAAAACTGAACACGTTTTAGGGTTTTAACTTTTAGTTCATAGGTTGCACAGAGTCTGCAACAAATGGCAAATATAGACCGGATTCCAAAAAAGTTGGGACACTAAACAAATTGTGAATAAAAACTGAATGCAATGATGTGGAGGTGCCAACATCTAATATTTTATTCAGAATAGAACACAAATCATAGATCAAAAGTTTAAACTGAGAGAATGTATCATTTTAAGGGAAAAATCTGTTGTTTCCAAAATTCATGGCATCAACAAATCCCAAAAAAGTTGTGACAAGTCCATTTTTACCACTGTGTGGCATCCCCCCTTCTTCTTACAACACTCAACAGACGTCTGGGGACAGAGGAGACCAGTTTCTCAAGTTTAGAAATAGGAATGATCTCCAATTCATGTCTAATACAGGCCTCTAACTGTTCAATCGTCTTGGGCCTTCTTTGTCGCACCTTCCTCTTTATGATGCACCAAATGTTCTCTATAGGTGAAAGATCTGGACTGCAGGCTGGTCATTTCAGTACCCAGATCCTTCTCCTATGTAGCAATGATGTTGTGATTGCTGCAGAATGTGGTCTGGCATTATCGTGTTGAAAAATGCAGGGTCTTCCCTGAAAGAGATGACATCTAGATGGGAGCATATGTTGTTCTAGAACCTGAACATAGTTCTCTGCATTAATGGTGCCTTTCCAGATATGCAAGCTGCCCATGCCACAAGCGCTCAAGCAACCCCATACCATCAGTGATGCAGGCTTCTGAACAGAGCGTTGATAACAACTTGGGCTATCCTTGTCCTCTCTGGTTCAGATGACATGGCATCCCAGTGTTCCATAAAGAACTTAAAATCGTGACTCATCTGACCACAGAACAGTCTTCCATTTTGCCACACTATTTTAAATGACCCTGGCCCAGTGCGAACGTCTGAGCTTGCTTAGAAATGGCTTCCTCTTTGCACTGTAGAGTTTCAGCTGGCAACAGCAGATGACATGGTGGATTTTATTCACTGACAATGCTTTCTGGAAGTATTCCTGAGCCCATTCTGTTATTTCCTTGACAGTGGCATTCCTGTTTGAGGTGCAGTGATGTTTAAGGGCCCGGAGATCACGAGCATCCAGTAGTTTTATGGCCTTGACCCTTACGCACAGCGATTGTTCCAGATTCTCTGAATCTTTTGATGATGTTATGCACAGTTGATGATGATAACTTAAAAGTCTTTGCTATTTTACGCTGGGTAACACCATTCTGGTATTGCTGCACTATCTTTCTGCGCAACGATGGTGGAATTGGTGATCCTCTTACCATCTTGGCTTCTGAGAGACACCGACACTCTGAGAAGCTCTTTTTATACTGCCTCCTTGTGGTGTGATGTTGCACGTACGTGGCGAGACGTATTGTGTCACTTCCTGTTTGTCTGTTGGTAGCTCGAGTGAATTGTTTGCTCGAGTCGTCTCTGTTTTCTGGATTTATCTGTCTTTTGCAGTTTTTCATTCTAGTTCACAAACACGCTTAGTACAGTTGTTTTTCTACTGTTGGATAGTGCTTAAAACACCTCTTGTCTTTCAAGACTTCTCGGTTTTTATTTGTGTATTTGGCTCTGCTAGCTCCTGGTAGCGTTAGCTTAGCATGGCTGCTGCTTCTCTCCCTGCTTCCTCTGTTTTCTCTTGCTCCGTGTGTCAGATGTTTAGTTACTCCTCTGCCTCCTTTAGTGGTAATGATACATGTATCAAATGTAGTCTTATGGTAGCTTTGGAGGAGAGGCTGTCTGAACTGGAAGCTCGGCTCAGCGCTGTAGAAAAACCAGTAGCTAGCCAGGTCCCCTTAGACAGCGCGGAACCACAGAGGCTAAAGTTAAAAAGTTAGCGGTCCTCCAGCAGACTCCGAGCAGCCGGGACCCCAGGCCGGCTGGGTGACGGTCCGGAGCAAGCATAGTGCTAAGGCTAAGCCCCCAGTTCACCACCGAACCGTTCATGTTTCTAATCGATTTTCCTCGCTCAGTGACACACCCGCTGAGAAACAGACCCTGGTTATTGGAAGCTCCATAGTCCGAAACGTGGCTTTAGGGACTCCAGCAGCCATAGTTCGCATAGTCCGCATATTCCGGGGGCCAGAGCGGGACAATATAGAATTTTATCTGAAACTGCTGACTAAGTCTAAGGCTACATACAGTAAGATTGTTATGCACGTCGGCGGTAATGACACCCGGTTACGCCAATCGGAGGTCACTAAAATTAATGTTGCTTCGGTGTGTGACTTTGCTAAAACCATGTCGGACTCCGTAGTTTTCTCCAGACCCCTCCCCAACCTGACCAGCGATGACATGTTTAGCCGTATGTCGTCGTTTAACCGCTGGGTGTCCAGGTGGTGTTCTGACAACGACGTGGGCTACAAAGATAACTGGAGTTCTTTTTGGGGAAAACCTGGTCTGATGCGGAGAGATGGCATCCATCACACTTT